TGTCTAGCCAGATAATTCCACATCTTTTTATAATCCTCAATACATTCATCAAGTATGACTCAGGTAGAATTATGTCTCCATAAAACTAGGGTTTGACTTTGTGATCAACTCACTGTGCTTAATAGACCACTAACCCTCTTTCCCTGCCAAGCAACAGAAAAGCAAAGGTCAAACTTGCCTGCCTTCCTTTCCTTCTGCCCCAGAACATCTAGTTGTCTGTGTTTTCTATATTTGCCGGGGTCTGATACACTGCATGGCTTGTCTAAAGCCCCAGGGATCTTTGATGGTGGATTATGGTTCCAGATGGGACCTGAAATCAGGGAAGTCAACCTCTGCCTGAAAGGCTTCTCTCAGGGCTAGCCAAGATTTCCTACTGAAGGACATCCTTAAGGACCTGAAATGCTCTGATTGGTACAGCACTGAGAGTCAGGATAGCATAGAGTTTCTGTCTCTAGAGCCAGACAGCCTGTGTTGCAGTACTAGCCCTACCACCCACTCAGTATGGAACCTTGAACAATTTATCCAGTTTTAGGGTTTCCTCATCTGGAAAATGGGAATGATAATAATAGTTCATACTTCATTAGGACTGTTGTGAGGATGATTAAATTAGTTTGAGTATGTAGGGAACATAGAACAGGGTGCCTGGCTTATAATAAACACCATCATTAAAATTTCAGCTGTCATTTTCATTATTATTATCATTGTTATTGTTGCCATTTGTATTATGAGTGGAAACAATATAAAAGTCTGCTCCCAAGACAGCTCAAAGTGTCCTGGGTCAGGGATCATTGCTCCCATCTAACTGTTCAGACCTGTCAGAGCCAGGAGAGATTGTCTGGCTTTGTTCTGCTTCAGCTCAAGTCCTGAAGAAGACTAAGAGCCCACAAGGCTGAGTGACATCCTCAGAAGAGTATGTGTGGGTGCCTGGATAGCCTCTACCTCTTGGACCTATGAATTTAATGTATTTTTTTTTTCAGTGTTCAAATTATTACCTATACAATAGATTATATAGCAGGGGGTAGTCAATATAAATTTTTTAGAAAACATTTTTAAGAAATATTGAATGAGAACTAGTACCAGTATCAAACAAGCTGATCTAACATGGCACCTTTCCAGGCAAAGTCCTTCCCTCTCTCTGAACTTTGGTTTCTCATCAATACAGTGAGAATTTGGAATTAGCAAATCTTGATAGTCCTTTGTAGCTCTATATTGTGTCAGTATAAGAAAACTTCTTGAAGTTAGAATTAGACTCTTCTCTGGGGAAATAAGAAGTGTATTGGGGCAGTTCACAGCACACAAATATTTTACACATACCCACACAGGTAAAAGTATTTGGTTCAATCTGATGATTATATTAGTGTATAGCCCTACCCTTTCTTCTTTTCAAGAAATCTTTTTTGAAACCTAACAGGTACTGACTTGATAATTGCCTTTTTCATTTTAGCCATTCTGATGACTGTGCACTGTGGTTTTAATTTCCATTTCTCTAATGACTAATAATGTTAAACATCTCATGACTTGGGGCCATTTAGTGTCTCTTCAAATCTTTTGGCCATTTTTCTCTTGGATTCTCTCCTTTTTTTTATTGATTTGTAGAAGATTGATGGTTTGATTTATGGAATTTTTTGGATACTAGTCTTAGATGGATATTTGAATTGCAAATATCTTTTCCCACTCTGTATCTTCATTTTTACTTTCCAAATGGTGTTTTTTTGTGAACAGAAGTTTATAATTTTAATGAAGTCCATCTTATCAGTCCCTAACTTTATTGTTAGTGCTTTTTGCATTTTATTTAAAAAATCTTTGCTTATGCCAAGATCAGGAAGACATGTACCTATTTTCTCTTAAAAATTTTATGATTTTATCTTTCAGTTAGATCCACCTATAATTGATTTTTGTGCATGTGTATGATGTGAGACAGGAGTCAATATACAATATTTTCCATATGGTTATTCAATTGGCCTAGCATAATTTATTAAAAAGATCATCTTTTCCTCTACCACAGTGCAGTTCATCTTTGCATTAGTCAAGTGATTGAATATGTGCAGATCTGTTTTTGAGCCCTCTATTTTGTTCCACTGGTCTATTTTTTCTTCCTCGCCAATATCATACTTTCATAAGAAATGAAACTTCATAATAAATCTTGCTGTTTGGTAATACAAGACCTCCAAATTTGTTCTTCTTCAGTTGCCTTGGCTACCCTTGTCCCTTTGCATTTCCATGTAAACTTTAGAATCAGCTTGTCAACTCCCACAAAAAAGTGTGCTAGGATTTGAATCAATATTGCACTAGGTCATTCTTGGAAAAATGGACATCTTCATAAATTGGACCTTCCAATCCAAGAGTGTGGATCTATCCCTCCCTATTTTTTTTCTTTTTTTTAGATCTTCTTTAGTTTCTCTCGGCAGTGTACTGAGGTTACAGTGTAGGGTCTTGCACATCTTACGTTTGATTTATTCCTACATATTTGACATTTTGTGATGTTAATGTAAATGACATTTTTAATTTTGTTTTAAAAATGTGTTTACTGCAGGCTTATAGAAACGACCTTTGTATCCAACAACTTGCTAAATTCAATTGTGAATTCTAATAGCTTGTAGTGTCTTTTGACCTTCTTAATGTATACAATCATGTTGAAATGCTTAATGACAGTTTGTCTTCTTTTTTAGTCTTCACATACCACTTGTTTTATGTTCCTTTTTCTGCCTTTTCTTGCTTTTTAAATTTTTTTTATTTTAAAAATAAATTTATTTATTTATTTTTGGCTGTGTTGGGTCTTCATCGCTGCTCGCGGGCCTTCTCTAGTTGTGACGAGTGGGGGCTACTCTTTGTTGTGGTGCGCAGGCTTCTCATTACGGTGGCTTCACTTGTTGTAGAGCACAGGCTCTAGGCACAAGGACTTCAGTAGCTGTGGTACACAGGCTCAGTAGTTGTGGCTCACAGGCTCTAGAGCACAGGCTCAGTAGTTGTGGTGCACAGGCATTAGTTGCTCCACGACATGTGGGATCTTCCTGGACTAGGGCTCAAATCCATGTCCCCTGCATTGGCAGTTGGATTCTTAACCACTCGCCCCCAGGGAAGTCCCTCTTGCTTTTTTTTAATTTGAATTTTGTTATTTGATATTTTTTCCCTCTAGTAACTTGTTAGTTTTATTCTTTTCAGTTATACATTATTTTACTATTTTTTTGGTGGTAATCCTAGCAGTTATAACATGCATTCTTGACTTATTACAGTCTAGTAAAAATTACTGCTTTTACCAATTTCCCAGTAATATTAGGACCTTAGATACTTTAACTCCATTTACCCTCTTCTGTCTTTTGCATTATTTTTGTCATGAAATGTTATTCCACATAATTTTAAATCCCATAAGATAGTTAAGTTTTATAGAGTTAATGTTGATTTAAACATATTCAGAAAATTACTTTTTCCAGCACTCTTCATTCCTTCTTTCATTCCTTGTTTCTGTCTGGGATCATCTTTCTTCTTTTGGAAGAATTCTCTTTTAGGATTTTAGTGCTTTCCTGCTGGCATGAATTCTCTCAGTTTTTCTTGGTCTAAAAATGTCTTTATTTCACCTTTATTTGAAGGAAATTGTTTTTCTGGGTATAGAAATCTAAATATGTGCTACTATACCAAATACCATTTAATAGTCTTACGGATGGATGAAAATTTATTGAGCTTCAAATAATTTTCATAATTTATAAGGTTGACATTGATCTTGGTGTTCTAGTCAATATCGTGAGATTTCTCCTAATGTCTGCCTCTTTCTAGCATTCTATAATGGAAATAGTCTCAGATTTGGAAAGAAAAATACATAACTCAAGAGTCAATCAGGGCCACTTGTGTGACCTTGGCCAAGTCACTTAACTTCTCTGAGCCAGTTTCATCATGTATAAAATGGGAAAAATATAATATTGGCTCCATTACACTGGGAAGTTATGATGCTCTGTTGAGATATATATGAAAGTGCTTTGTAATATGTAAAGTACCAATCCGTTTGAAATTTTTAGTGTTATTATTATTTACTGGAACAGAAACATTTTCAGTGTATATATCCAGAATTTTCTTGAACACCCACAAAATGGTGAAAATGATGGTATTCATGTATGTATGTATTGATATATATCTTGCCTTTCATGAGAAAGCAGGACAGTGTTTGAAGTTACATAAAACACAGCTTACACAAGGTCAACGGCAAATTTATTTCTGATCTTTCAAGCAAATAATAAGAAAAGGGAGACCTGGCTACTTACATAATTCAGAATAGCTAGAAGATAAAAATAACCCATTATTCAGGAGAAAAGTTCTTTCTTAACACTCAGTTCAGGCAGAAATTTCTCCTTGGTTTTCTTAATGATGTAGATTATTTAAAAGATTTTTCTGCTAGTTTAGAGATGACTGATTTGCATAGTTAACACAAATTAGTGTTGGACTGATCTAGAACTTTAATATTGTTTCATACTCCTGAAGGGAGAATTATACACATTAATGAGTGCTGCAGGCAGCCACCCTCCCACCCTACTTGCAAATGGATTCTATTTAGAAAACTAATAAAGATGCCAGCTTCCTTTTCAGAATGCTTGGATACACATTAGAGGGAAGGCTAGGCTAATAAATTTAAATCTTATTTTGCATATATAACATTAATTGAACTGCCTTAGGAAGACAATATTTACCTGCATTTTACTTTTCCTTCAAAGAGGTTGATTCAAAAATTTCTTACTACCTTCATCAAATATTTATTGAGTCCCTACTATGTGTAGGCATATTCCTGTTGGATTGTTTGCTCTCCTCTGACAAAAAGTGTTCATTCAGACTTACATTTTGTGCTTTCTTTTTTCACGTTTTCCTTTTTTTTTTTTAGTAAACATGTATTTAAATAGAAAACAAAGTGTATGTTAGTGCCTCACAACCAATGCCCTAACACATCTGAGGTTTTGTATGATGATCAAATTTAAAAGAGGACATTTATTCCTCATTCAAATTCTTTGTGTCTTCAGGTCTCTGGCATGCATTTTGTATGAGATTTGCTGTATGAATCATGCATTCACTGGCTCCAATTTCTTATCCATCGTTTTAAAAATTGTTGAAGGCGACACTCCTTCTCTCCCTGAGAGATACCCAAGACAGCTTAATGCCATCATGGAAAGGTACGGAAAGAAATGTATTGCTGCAGAAGCAATTTTAAATTGTACTTATATTTTAGTTCATTTGAACAATAATTTTCTTTTTAAACATTACAGCATGTTGAATAAGAGTCTTTCATTGAGACCATTTGCTATAGAAATTTTAAAAATTCCTTACATTGCTGAACAACTACAGGTATTTAAAATGAAAGGGATAAAATGAAAGGGAAGCACATATTAGCATTTATATACCTTCTAGGACTTGTAGATGTGCTGTGGGAATAAGATGCAGTAAGAATCAGTCAGAAAGGAGAAACAAGGTTTTTTTTTAAAAGCTGGGGGAAATTATTAGTAGGCAATCTCTGCCAAGGAAGGTGTGTGAACTCCAGCTCCCTGGTGCCCCAGATGTGAGAAGTTTGGATTGTGATTTTTTGCCTAACTGCAGCATCCACCCTTAGAGCTCTTGGCTTACAAATCTTACCTCTACAATTTGTACATGTATCCCTGCTAGTGCAAGAATGTACTACTAATGATACAAAATCTGGGGGTTTCATTGGACCTTTATTATTCCATTCCTTATTTTGTATCCTACTAATACTTTTTATTGATTAGTTGAGTTTATTTTGCTTTCCTGTAGATTAAAAATTTCGATGCAGAGAATCTGCCTTTAATGGTAAGCAAAAAGCAAATGGTGTCCTCTCAGGATGTTTTTTTGTTTGTTTCCTTGTTTTTAGACTTCATAGGCTTTTACAATACAAATCCCTTGGGCAGATTTCCTTTAATTTTTATGAATAGTTTTAAGTGGACCCACAGAGCAGTCATTCACCTTCACAAATGGACACACATTTTCATCAGTGTCCAGTTCTCAGGCACAGGAAACAGGGATGCTGACTTGATGTGCAGTCATTAGTTGAGATCTGGCACTGCACTGACACTGGGGGGTGCCAAAATTATAGGAACAGATATGGCTCCTGTCTTTTTGAAGCTTGGCTGCTAGTAAGAGGACCCAGTAACCAAGAAAATGTAAGCAAGTAAATAAAATAATTGTAAACTATCAGAAGAACTAGGAAGAAATATAGCATGCTGTGAAATAAGGGAAGGGAAGGACTTTGGTGGTCAGAGAAGGAGCAGGTGACATTGTGACATCAGTGAGATTGTGAGAAGCAGCGTGCCCTACAAAGAGCCTGAGGGAGAGTGTTGTGATCACAGGGAGTGGCTCATACAAAACTCTGACTTAGGTGATGTCCCCTGGAGGGGGAAGCACTAAAGATGTGGGGGAAGCACTAAAGATGTGGGATAAGCAGGACAAGAGGAGGAAGTGGTGGGAGCTCCCTGGTGCTTTCAGCTCTCCCTGAGTATAGCTCTCCACTTGCCTGAGGGCAGACTTCTGAAAAGAGGCTGGTTGTTGGGATCAAAAACACAATGAAGGGTGTGTGAGCAAAAAAACAAACAAAAAAGTCAAAAGGCATCCAATAGATCCCCTGGGACTAGGGTGAGACAAATGAGGCATTTTCCCTGGTGCAAAATTAAAGAGGACACCAAAAACTCAGTAATCCAGATAAATAATGTTGCAATGTAGTGTTTTTTAAAAAAATCAAAAGTAATGCTAAAAAGAAGTCCATAGTAACAAAATATCAAACGTTCAAGGACAGGATCCAATGGGGCTAGGTTGAATGTGGAGCTAAAACCAAGCAGGACCCTGCAGGGCCGTCTCAGGTATAAAAGTCCCTCCATGTCCACTGTTTCTTGAAACAGTGTTCACTGTTTGTAGAAAAAGGCTTTAGTCTCCTAAGACTTTCCTTAGTTCCAAGAAACAGACTCAGGTAGTTACTAATTAGAGAATTGAGGGAATGTAGAAACAGAAGAAAAGCAGTCAAGCAAGAAAAGTAATGATAGCCTAAACAACAGTTCAGTGATAAAACAGAATGCTAGTTCCTCCCCAAGGGATATATATAATAATCTAATTCATATGTTTGAGTTGTTCTGCAGAAACTAGGACCCCTACCCAGGTGGTGACTATATGATGACAACCAGCATGTAGACCCCAGACTGGTTGGAACCAGAGATTAATGATTAAGATTCCCAAAACACCACCTTGTTACCTCAGCACCAACCAATCTGAAGAAAGTCCATGAGCTGCAACACTCACCCCAAATGTTGCTTTTAAAGACACTTCCCTGAAAGCTATCAGGGAGTTCTGGTCTTTTGAACATTAGCTACCCATTCTCCTTGCTTGGTGCCCTGTAATAAACGCTGTACTTTCCTTCACCACAGCCTGGTATCATTAAATTGGCTTTGCTGGTGAGCAGACCTAAGTTCAGCTCGGTTAGAAACTGAGGTAGAATGGTGCAAGTTCAGGACCGGGTCTTGTCGCTTTTTAAACTTTTGCTATTGTATTCTCCAAGGCTTTTTGTCATTAATGTTGATTTTTTTATAATACTGCATTAAAATATTATTTATCTTGGTTACTGAGTTTTTTATGCCCCTTAAATTTGTACCTGAGGTGAGTGCCTTGCTTGTCTCACCCTAGTCCTGGACTTGGTGATGCCGAAACTCAGCCTCTGTGCACGAGTGATGAATCAAATCTTGGAGACAAAGTTTTGGGTGAAGTAGAAAAGAATAGCTTATTGCTTTGTCAGGTAAAGGGGGACACAGAAGATCCATGCCCTCAAAGCTGTGTGTTCCAACTCAGGGGGATTTGGTGAGGAGTTTTATAGCAGTGGTTCAAGGACAGGGTTGCTGTTAAGGATCAGGGTGTATACAGGGCCTGCACTCCTTTAATCCGGTCTCAGGTGGTCTCCTGATGAGCTTCTGTGGTTCTCCAGGTTATTAAACTCTGACTTTCTCTCTAGAATGAAGAATGCTTCATCAAGTAGTTAACATCTTCCATTTGTTGGGGGTTTTAGTTCTGCAGAAGAACTCAAAGGTATTGTTATGTGTATCCCTTGAGGCAGAACCAGGACCCTGTCCCAAGGCTGCACTATTGTTTCTTAACTGCTCCTCCCTTCTCTTTGCATTCCCTCCCTTCATTGATTAGCAACTGTTTGAACCTGCCCTTTGGAACTCAGGGAAAGTCATGGAGGCTGAAGCCTATTCCCTACAAATAGGGGACACAGAAAGGCTTTTGTGCCCAGGAGCCTCACAGGGTCCTGTTCGGTTTCACTGGGAGCAGAGACATCGTCCACTACAGTCCCTGAGGTGGGAGAGAACTGTGTGTTCTTGGAGCTGAGGGAAGGCCTGCCTGTGGCTGGGTGACTGGGAGCAAGAGAGCAAGCAGAGCAATATGAAGTTGGAAAGATGGACAGGAGCCTGACCCCACAGGAGCTGCTGTGTAATGTTTTAGACCTGTTACAGAAGGAAAAATAGTTACCAGTGGGTTTGATTTCAAGCCTCAGACACGGGTCAGTAGTACTACACATCAGAAAAGGTTACTGGTCATTTTATGCCTCTTCATCCCTGAAGAGTCTTTAAGGTATGTTACGGCTGTTCTTTTTTTCAGCACCTGATGTGCCAATATTCGGAAATGACCTGGAAGACAAGAATTTGAATAGTCAGAAGGAGGCAGCTTATATAATTAATGCTGTGTAAGTAATTGTTTTGTTTTTAAAAAGCCCACTGAGTGTAAATGTTAAATGCATTTGTCTTAAAAAATATTAGTGCTAAGCTGACAGCATGGAGTATCCTAGAATTCACTTAAGTCTTGCCAAGAAATTAAGGAGCTTCAGTAACTTGACGTGCCAAAGTCCTTCGCCCCAGGTGGTAGTAAATTGAAATCATAAAAGTTTAAACCTCTGCACAGCTTACAGATCTGCAGGGTAGCTCTGCAGTTGCATTGTAAGTATATAGAGAAATTCATCTCTCAAACGTTTAGTGATATTTATGCTAATGAACATTCAGATTAAGCATAAATGGCTTTCACACGTTGGTTGTTTAACAGGAACTGGCAGAGTATCTGTTGAAAAGCTGACACTGTAGAGTCCTGGGACAATTGAAAATAAGCCAAAATTTACTTTCTTGAGATATACATAAGAACTAGAGAATGTGTTTCACAAAGAGCCATAATTTTTTCCTGATCTCATTTGTCTCTCCTACCTATTCAAACTTTCTATGCCATAACTTACAAGAGCCCAGAATACTAGGTTATGTCAGAACAGCCACGTACAGCTGTGCAGGCTGTGTACTGCACAACTCCAGGGGGCACCACTGATAAGACCAAATCTATAATTTTGCTGAAGAAATGTTATTTAATTTTGTTCCAATGAGAATGACAGTCCCTCCCAGAGCTGTGCAGGGCAGTGAAGTGAGAATGGTAGCCCTCATCAGCTTGATCTTCAAGGCCAAATTACACAAATATGCTTCTCTAACCCCCAGTCCAGTGGTTTCTCAACTGTGCCGTGTTTGTTTTCCATCCCCACATTCAAACTGAGGGAACTGGTCCATCAAAGTTATTCATTCTTTGTTTAATGCATGATCTCCAGTTAAAATACCCTGCAACTCAGGAGATACATCTTTAGGCATGCCCCTATAACCTAGTTTTCTTGGGTTACTACCTATTTTTTTCAGGAATGCCTGGAACTTCTCATTTTATTTTATTAACAAGATATGTGAGAGTAGTAGGTATCTTATTTTTAAAATACTGGACTAACTTTAGCTATCATTTTGCACTGCAGTTTTGAAACAGTTTGCCTGACTGTGCTTACAATTATAGTGTGCTTGAATCCAGTTCTTCGGATGATCTTTCACATTATGAGATATTGATTTCAAATCATCACTGTTATTTTCAAGATCTATGACTGTTTTGAGGGGCTCTATCTGGTTTTACAAAATAAAGCATGTGTATTCCTGAAAACTGCATGGCCCCTGGAGGCTCTAGTCTGAACTGTATTCCAGAGGGATGAGAACTGCCTACAGAGCTCATTACAGTTTCCTCATAGTGTTTCTTTCTTTTATTTATTTATTTTTTTTTGTGGTACACGGGCCTTTCACTGTTGTGGCCTCTCCCGTTGCGGAGCGCAGGCTCCGGATGTACAGGCTCAGCGGCCATGGCTCACGGGCCCAGCTGCGCCGTGGCATGTGGGATCTTCCAGGACCGGGGCATGAACCCGTGTCCCCTGCATCGGCAGGTGGACTCTCAACCACTGCGCCACCAGGGAAGCCCTCATAGTGTTTCTTTTTTTTTTTTTTTTTTCCTGTGTACATATATTTTAATGTAAGTGGGGTCATCTTACACATTTTAAAACTTGAATGTTTTTTATTTAACAAATATATGTATTTTGACAATTATTCAATCTAAGTATATGAATATACCCCAGACTTTTCATATTGTCCCCTCCTATGTACACTAAATATAAAGATGAAAATAGCTTTATTTCTGCTTAAAGAAACAATACTATTTTTAATGTAAAATATTCAGACAATACCAAAGATGAAAGAAATAGTTAAAAAGCAACTGAAATCTTGCCACACTGAGATGATCCCCATTTTGGTGACTAGTTAAGGCTATTCCTTTAAGTATTCACACAAGTGTAAACATACACCCATATCTACCACACACATGTTTATAATATTTATCAGTGGATTACATACAAGTTGATTTTTATCACAAAATTGTTTTACTTGTGCTTGGGGATTTTTATCCTCCCTCCCTGTCCCCCCCTCATAGTGTTTCTTAAGGAGGGAGTTGAGTGTAAAAGGCATTCCGCTATTGGGCCCTAACCAAGCCAGGCACAGAAGCAAATGCCATTGAGAATGTGGTTGCACACCTTTCAATACATGGTTAATGTAAGCACATTTCTTTAACTGAAGAAAGAAGCTCTCGAATAATATTGGCTAACATTTTCAGGGGTAATGACCATATGCTTTGCTCTGTTATAAGCTCTTTGCATGAATTAACTCATTTAAACTCACAACAACCCTACAAAGTAGGTACTATTATTATTATTATTTAAACAATCATAGAGAGGTCAAGTAACTTGCCCAAAGGCATACAGCATGTAGCCTGGGAGCTAGGATTTGAACCTAGAGAATGTTCTTAACTGTGCAATTAATCACTATGCCATGCTGCCATAAAAATACCTACTGTATGAAGCCTAGAAGATAAGGCATATTCAATAACTTTTAGCTATTATAATACTACCATTTTGGGATACTTTTATATGTCAGGCACTGTACATACATTATCTCATATAATACTCAGGATAGCCCATTCTTTATGGATGAGAAAACTGGGGTTCAGAGAAATTCAGTAACTTGCCCAAGGCTACAGAGCTAATGAGTGGTAGAGATGGGATTCAAACCCTGCCTAATTCCAAAATTGTGTCTTATCCACATGGTTGAATTAGTCTGCCAGTCTATTTACTCTTTAATGGCCAAGATCCTAATTTGTCTTGCACTATGAAAAGCAGTCATAGGCAATGAAATGAACAGAAATTTGCAAAGTACATAATTTGCTTTTAAACAAAAATCTAGTTTAAAAAATATTGCCAATTAACCACAGTCCTTCTTGGCTAATTACCTACCCAGAGTTTATTAGTTTTCACTTGGCATGTCTTGAGATGCTTTTCCCTTCTCAGTAGTGTAATGATACTTCTGTAAAATACTTGTTTAATTTTTCTGAGCATGTTTGGGATGGGTTGCACATGGGAATCTTTATTATCTATAGGCAGAAAAAATCCACCTGCAGACCCTGCGGGCGCTGTCTGAGGTATAGAAAATGACACTGAGAGAGGATGCGGCTGAGGAAGGTCCAGGCAGCTGATGAGGAGGCCAGGAAGCTAAAGTAAGTGAACTTCCCTTAGTGCCCTGGGCCCTGGGCTGCTTCCCAGGGCTCTAGAGGAACTTGCTGAAGAAAAGCAAAAACCACAACAAGAAAATGCACATATTTATCAGTTTATTCATTTATTCATTCACTCATTCCCTCAAAAGATGGTTATTGAGCCATAGATGGTTATTGGATGCCAGGCACTATTAATAGCAGGCTTTCAGTCTTGTGTGAAAAGAAGGATTGAATATCAGGGAGGTTATTAGGAATGAAAATATAAGGTCAGCCTCCAGACGAAGCCTCTTTGTTTTTGACACCTTCTGTACACAGCACCGTGAGGGGGTGATAAGGTGGCCTCACTATTCTGTCCACACTCCCCAGGTGTTTGCTAAACCCCTCTGCCCAGAGCCCTGGCTGCAGGAAATTGCTGGCTTTAGGAAGGAGCCTGGAAACAACTCTGTTTTGTCAGGTAAAGCCCTTCACAGGCTGCTCTGGGCATGCTGCTGGTGTGAGAGATCACAAGTGTTTAGAGTTTACACATGAAAAGGGGGTTCCAAAGAGCCCAAAACTCCCAATTTCTCAAAGACTGATTTTTCAGCTGGTATGTGACCCAATTGCCTAATTTTTCTTCTTCTTTCTTCCTCTGCCAATTTTTTGGTGGCTTAGAAGCCCCAACAAAGAATTAGAGGGACAAAAAAAGACCTGAAACTCAAATCTGTCCAATGTGATATCATTCAGTGTTCAGTTGGAAGACATGTGCAAACCAGTACACCACTAAGTGTGGATTTTGCTGAAGAAATATAGTCAAGAAAGTTGTTTGGACTGTTGCATCAACTCACAGTCCCAAATCTATTTCTAACACCTCAGGAATGGCGATATTTCCAGGGTACCATGGTTCATGTCATTGGCTGAGGGTGAAAGGAAAATTAAATCTCTGACAGGAACAGATTAAAAAGGCAATTTAACAACTTGCACATTACAATTTATTTTTCAAATTAAAACTATTTTTAATATGCAAAAAAGTCATAGATCTACCTCATGGCATTTAATATTTTTGTTATTAAAGGCAATGATTTTTAAATAAGTTTGTTCTTGATTTTATGAATGAATTGCATTGGAGTGGTTTTGATTATTGTTTCTAGGATTTGAGAAAGGTCATGTGTTTTAGGTAGAAAATGACTCCATTGTCATGAGGGTTATAATGTACCCACGTTATAGACACGAAAATTTGACTACAGGGATATTCAGTGATTTTTAAAGAAATCTAAGTATAAATTAGCATACAAGTAATCACAAGAACTCAAATCTTTCCTCCAGTTTAATAGCAGGTCTATTAAATTCAACTCTTCTATTGTAGAGGAAACAGAAAATGTCTGAGAAAAATTCCCCTTCACAGTGGCTCTCATATTCTTTTCCATAAATTCTTTGAAATGCAGGTCTGTTTTCCACATCTATGGGTTTGTTACCCAGTTATTCATATGTGTTGGGCTCTCTCCTGAGCATCAGAGACACACTCCTGTCCTTTGTCAGCACAGGCCGAGAGCACACAGGAATGGCACCACCCTCTTCCCCTGAGTTCTGGGTTCTTGAGGGTGAACAAAGAGCCAGCATCCTGCGTGCTTTAAAGGAAAATCGAGTGGGGCTGCACCGCACTCACGTGATGAGGGAGAGACCACAGGCCTGGCTGCCCTACACCCCAGTCTGCCTTTTGAAACAGGGATCACACTTGTGTAACGTAGATGTGGTTTTAGCAAATTGCAGCTCTTTTTCTATGTTCACTTTATGCAGAAAGATTTTGGAAGAAAAATATGAAGAAAACAACAAACAAATGCAAGAACTGAGATCTCGGAACTTGCAGCAGCTGACTGTGGATGTGCTCCATGTGAGTGCGCTTCTGTTTTAAATTTTACAAAAGACCTTTTCTTGCCTCAGATTCTTCAGATTCATGGGGCCAGTTGGGTAGTAAAAGGGACAAGGTAGGGAAAAAAAGCATCCAGACCAACTCTGCCCAATTCCAGGCTGGACTGGGATTTGTTTTAGAACGTAGGCCAACAATTAGTGATGGCACTAATTCAAAGCAGCTGTACCAAGTGCCTGCTGTGTAAGGATGACTTAATCTGCATTGAATGAACAACTGAAGAGTTAAAAGTATGACTCTGCAGAACAAATGTGTGTCTATCTAATTTTGAATTTCAGCCGTGCTATTGTTGCTTTACTTCTTTAGTCCACTGTTCTTTTTCTGCCTTATTTTTCATTCTTTCCCTCTTTATTTTCTGTCTCCCATCCATATCATCGTGCGTTGTGTTAATAACCCCTTTCAAACTTTGGAGAATTATCATACATATCCAATAATAGGGTTGCAGACTCGCATGAAATGCACCCCAAATTCATGTCCTCTGCATCCCAAGCCTCTGAATACCATCCCTTAATGGTTAAAAATATCTTCATTGACCTTGGTGTGGACTTTGATACTTAAGGTAGTCTTTCTTCAGGGTTGTATTTGGATAATAGACATCAACACCAACCTCCTAGCTCTTTGGTAAAAACAATTTGGGAAGGAGTCCTTTTTATGGAAAACTTTATTGTCTCAAATTCTGGTTATTTGTTCATTGGTCATCCCTGTATCTGAGGGAGATTCTTTCCTTTAGCAGGAAGAACCAAGCCCCTGAGGCTGTGGGGATGATCCCTGAGGTCTGGGGATGCTCATTCTACTGTAGCTCAGTAATCACAGGGCTCTGCACCCTGGGGTGTGCCGGAGCCCTGGGCAGAGCTCACTCGCAGACAAGGCAGAGCGTGGGAACATTGTTTTCTGCCTCCCTCTGATTGGTGATCCACTTTTCTCAATTACTTAGTGGTTGGGAGTGCTTTAGAGTTCTGAAAACCCAAAGTTGGAGCAGATGGGGGCCCAGCCTACATTGACCTTAGGAGTCTCTGTCCATCAGGCCCTTTAGCAGACAGTATGTGGGTGCTGACGCTGCTCCATCCCAACCCCTGTTCTCCACCATCTCTTACTCCCAGGGAGGCTGGCCTCAGAGGTGTAGGGGTGGGATGGTTCCTGCTCACAGAACCTTAGGGTGGAGAAGTTGCCAGCTGAGGGGCAGCAGTGTCAGACCCCTACTCGGGGAAGGGTCTTGACACCACCAAGCCCCCTGCAAACACTGAACACCCTCCTTCAGCTCCCCAGATACTTTCGAGGCCCTGAAGTGATGACTTGTGGAGGTAGGTCATCTTCCCCTCAGGATTGAGACTGCAGATTCCCCCACATCCCCAACAAGAGTCTGGCATGATGATAAGAGTTCTGCATTTGTTAATATATGTAAAATACTTGTTTAATCAGATGATAAAACCAGGACATTTTTCTGGAATGCTCAGGGTCCCCTGCTTCTAAGGGATTTTACCCCCAGAGATTGGAAATTGAGAAGTACAGATGTGATAATATTTTGTTTTATAAAGCCTAAATAACTTTATTCTTAAAGTTAGCATATGGCAAATAAAAATGTAGTTTCAAGTATGATCTTACATTTTAATGTCTGATAACTTCCTTAACTTCTTTGCTTTTCTTCATTGGCCTTAAAAGTAATCATTTCTGTGTTCTTTTTCATTTCCAATATGATTACTATTAGCGTGAAGCAACAACACTGTATGAGGTCTTGTCCCTTCTATAAATTAGGGCCCTTGGGGGATCCTAAAGTCACTTAAGGTTTTATTAGCTCTATATTATCCTACAGAACATGGGAGTCCAGATCTTGGCCCAGTTCAAATGAGGAAAGTGAGGATTTCACAGAGATTTTATGAAGTCCGAACTCATAACCTCCACAGTGTCTGCCTAGTTTCTCCCAATTCCACCCCCGTCCATCAGCAAGGAGCAAAGGCAGGAGGGAGGTGCCTGCCGCTGTCTTGACCAGAGATGGTGGTTCATTCTTTGGTCATGTAAGATTCAGTATCACCAACATCTTTGGTTCTGAGCTTTCCAGAAGCAAGTTTCCTAAGTTGCATATTGATGTAGGCAGGAAGTGCTCCAGGCAGCCCCTGGCTCTTGAAGAGAAGACCCTCCCTGGGCTGATTCTGCCCAGTGCGCAGCGTTGTTCAGCATCACAGGTCTCTTGCCGTCCTTTGTGCAGTTACATCAGCCATTTCCCTCTGACCCATCAGTAGCATCCCACTTTCTCTCTTTCAAATGTCACCGCCTCTTCAGGAGAACTGTCTTTGACCTCAGTCTACTAGCCCTTCTCCAAATTCTTATGTTTTCTAGCAATGCTTCTCAAACTTCAAAATGTACCTGAATCACCTCTTGGTCTTGTTGAAATGTAGATTCTGATTTGGCTGGTCTGGGGTGGGTCCTGGGATGCTGCATTTCTAACAAACTCCCTGGTGATTCCTATGCTGCTGGGCCAGGACCGCACACTGATTAGTAATGGACAGAAATTGGGTTTCTTGAAAGCAGCTTCAGATGAAAGAGGATCTGGAAAAGCCATGATGAGCGGACCTTCCTATAATCTCTTTAGGAAAAAAGAGCATTTAATGGGAATTGAAGAAAAGGAGGGGCAACCTGAGGGAAGGATTTCTTGTTACCCCTAGAGGAGGTTGGAGAGAGGAGGCCAGGCAGAGAGGAGACCAGTCTGATCACATTCACAGGCACAGGAGTGAGGCAGGCGTAATATATTCAGAGAACCAAGGAGGGGGAGCTGATATTTTGCAGATGGACTGAAGGGTCTAGACATCTCATGGAAATGCATCAGTGAGCTGAAAAAGATGAAATACAATGTGAGAAATAAGCTGGATTAATTGGATGCAAGAGGCTAAAGAAAAACATGATTAAGAAGGAAAGAAGGAAGAGGCACACATTCCCGTCTGCCCAGATGCACATTTGTGGTTGAATTTCTTCCTCCTCTCACTGGGGCTCTGTTCTTTAGTCCTCTTCCTTCTGTCTGGCTGGCTGAAGCAAACCTCATTATATTTCAAAAGCAGTTGTAGGAGATAGAAACACAGTTAGGGGAGAGACAGGCTGGCTGTGTCACCTCTTAAATGTTTTAACAATTCTTTGAGGCGTTTAGGAGAGTGGCTTGCTTTGTTTTTCAGAACCTGACTGATGGGGCCTTTTACACTGGAAGGCATTTTCTGCTCCACTGAATTTGGGCTTTGAAATCTTGAAGCGTAGTTGACTGTGGAATCATGTTGGCACCATTTCTTTAAAGGATGGTAGCTTAAAACAACTAGATACCACGATGCACACACTAAGCCCAGTCTTTCTTTTATCCTGGGGTGTATGCAGGTGTGATGGTTTCTGTGAAAATTGTGTGGCAGATCAGGCCTCCAAATGTGAAACAGTCCTGGGGATCAAAGAGCAGATCAAGTCTTGCTCCTTCTAAGAGAAGCAATTATAACAATTCTGTTCTCTTCAAAGAGAACCTCAGAAAATCAAAGTCAACTGGGAGTCTAAATACTTGTTGTCAAATAATTTCTGAAGTGCACACAGAGGCACATTTCGTGCAGTCTCTGCTTTTTGCACTATCAGTGACCCTTTGAAATTTGGAGCCAGTTTCACCTCCTGCAACAATTATTATACAGTACAAAAAATGGACTTCTTAAAAATATTTTATGACTGTATTTCCACAGATGCCACATCACGGTGTAGCACAGCTATGTTTTACTTATTCATTTAAGATTAGTTTGAACTTTCTCCTTTTGATATGAAGATGCTCTTGGAATAGTTCTCCATGAAAGCCATTTACCCAGGAAAACAGGTCAATTCAGCATTAGCTCTGGGTGGCAAGTACACACACACACTCACACACACACACACACACGCACACGCACACGCGCGCACACACACACACACACACAGAGTGATTAGTTGACATGCCTATTGAAACATTTGAGAAGTTTAACTTTTATTTTTTTGAAGTGGAGACTCTTTCATGTCACCTCTTAGATCTCTTTCTTTAAGGAAATTGAAATTCATAGAATCACAGAGCTTTTAAAGCTGGAGGAGAGCTTTAAAAGACATTATTGAAGCCAACACCTCTAGTCTTGAGATGAGGAAGCTGAGTAGGGCTGGACATCCTGCCCGCCTCACCCTCACCATGACCCTGACACTCAGGCCAAGGGAGGTTATATGATTTGCCCAAGGTCACCTGCCGAGTTAATTCAGAGCTGTTCCTCTCATTCCAAGCTGCCCTCTTGAGATATGAAAATGTTATCATGTTTAAGGGAAAGGATTAGGTGGGCTTTTGTTTCTAAGTCATCTTCTAAACAAGAATATTGTTTCATTTGTGGTAATGCTGTTTCCTCTGATCAGCTTCTCATGAATTGTTCATTACCTTCTGCAAGGAATTTGATGACTCAGCTTCAGAGAACCTGCCTGAGTCTCAGCCCATTCCTTCCCTGGACCTTGGCACACTTGGGTCAAGTGTAGAGGACACCGTAGCTGACCTTGGAGATCACGGTATAAGTTTGCATTAGCCTGCAGAAGGCTGCTCTTGGATGACATGTGCGTTGGTGAGGCTGACCCTCCAGTGAGCCTGGCCAGCCTCTGGGAGAAGCCTTGGGTGTATGTGGCCACCTTCCATCAGTTTGCCAGAGCTGGGCTGTGGTGGTGAAAAGCAGAGAAGCTGAGGGCTTTGTCCATCCTCTCTTGTCTTCTTTGTCATAGCGAAGATGAGCTGGAAACTCGCACTGGATGAGGGACCTCCGCTTCTACATGAGTTAAACAGCATCACTACTAACATGTGTAAGACTGTGAATGCTCTGAAGTAAGTTGTTTCCCTGGCCCTCATGAACCAGAAAAAAAGTGCTCAGAGCTGTCAGCCAAACTGGGGAGATATGTCATAGCCTAATGGTATCAAACATGAGTTTTAGAGTAAAAAAGCTGGCCCTATCAGGGAAGACCCTGGCAACAATCTGTCTAGGTCTCAGTTTCCTTTACCATGAAACAAGAATAAAGCAAATTAGCTAAGGCCTGTGACGTGCTCTCAGCTCCATGCCCAGCACATGGTAAAAACCAAAGAGAGGGAAGCAGTTCATGACTCTGAGGGGCAGGGCTGGGAACGTGAGACCTTGAAGTCCTGTAGGGCCGCTGACAAGTGTCAGGAACATCATAGGCACTCAGTGAACATTCTTTGAGTGAATGAATGTGTGGATGAATGACATGTTGTCTCGACCTCTGAGAAGCAGATGCCAAGACGGGACTAGAAGTGCAAGGATATTATTAGGGGAAATGTCTGCATAAAAGGAGTTAGGAAAGGAGCTAGGAAAGGCTGAGAGAACTGTCAGACCGCAATTCGAGTCTCATTCCAAGTGAAGAGAGAAGTTCGCTGGATGAGCCCTAGTCTGTGAGGCAGTCAGAGGCAGCCAGGACGTCAGGAAGTGGTTCCGGAGACTCAGCTGTTGGAGGCTGCATGTCCCTGCTGTGGTGGGCCTGGGGTGGGGATGGCGGAGGGGTGTGGTAGCCTCACTCTCCTTGTGGGTGAATGTCTTGAGGTGCATCCTCGTGGCTGGAACTCTCTGGCAGCAGCTGAGTTCTCTTTCCAAAGAATGGAGGTAGTGAAACTTGGATTTGGCTGGTCATCTCAGCCCAAATTTGCTTTCGATGTCTTCCTGATGGAGCTGTTAGAGCTCGTGCTGCCTTCTTCAGCTGTGAGGAGACTAGGACCTGATGCTCTTCAGGTTGCCATTTGCCAACTTTTGAAATGGTGTTTTGGAAGCCATCTGGTAACGGGTGTTACTGGCAGACAAATATGTGTATTAGATGGATTTGCATTTAGATTCTTTTCAGGTATTTCTTTTATTTATTTATTTATTTGTCTGCATTGGGTCTTAGTTGCAGCACATAGGATCTTAGTTGTGGCATGCAGAATCTTTTCGTTGAGGCACGCGGGCTCTTCATTGCAGGGCGCAGGCTTCTCTCTAGTTGTGGTGCTTGGGCTCTAGAACACACAGGCTCAGTAGTTGTGGTACGTGGGCCCAGTTTCCCCATGGCATGTGGGATCCTAGTTCCCTGACCAGGGATAGAACCTGCATCCCCTGCATTGGAAGGTGGACTCCCAACCACTGGACCACCAGGGAAGTCCCCAGGTATTTCTTTAATACATTATTTGTTATTTTCCAAAGGTAAAATTTGGAAATGTAGAACCGTCCCCTGGGCCTTTCTTTCCAAGGCTATAAAACCAAGGGCTAGGCAGGCCTTTGAGTAGCACCGATATGGACAGCCTGTGCACTGCTGGAGGGCCATCGCCATCTAGAAAGAGGAAGCCCCAGGACAGGGCATTTAGTGGGTGGCCTAGGATCAAGAGGCCTGGGCCCAGCCTCCAGATTTCAGATAGGAAAGGGTACTTATTTCACAGACAAGAAGCCAAAGACAGTAGGTAATTTGCTCAAGGACTCCAAAGTTCCTGCTTTCTAGTGCAAGTTACTCCTAAGCTATCTCTGACCACAGAGCTGCCGGGATTCTCAGGCTGGCATCCTCCTTACCTTGCCCTTTGTCTTCCGTCAGGAGGTTTTGGTATGACAGACCATGTGTTGAGTTACCAGCCAAACTGGAAGTGGGCCAATCCACTCCTTTGCCCACCTTGTTCACACTGTAAGGAAACTACTTAGACGCCCATTATAAGCTGTGAGAGCCAAAAACACATAGTAGTTTTAGGTGGGCCAAATGCCTTGTAAAATACTTTAAACATTTCCCTTATTTTTTCCTCTCTGTAAATTCATATTTTCTAATTTCTATTCTTTCTTAAATATTAAATTGAAAAGGGAGACTATGAAGAACTATGAAATGTAGCCTTTGGGTTGATGATTGGTTAGATGGTGGGTAATTGCAAGATGGTTAGTGACCTCATAGCTTACTCATGAAACTTTGAGACAGGAAACTTTAATTTGTTGATGAACTCTGAAGTGGTTAATTATTACCCCCATTTGCTTTGCCTTATACAAGATTTGACTCCAAACTTTCAGCACCCAGAGGAGGTTGTAATTTATTTTTTATCTAGCTTGTATATGTAAAATAAAATTACACAATCATTTTTTTTAAGCTCCTGCAGCAAATGTTTAATCAGTTTTAGATGCTGAATTGGGAAATTCCCTCTGGGATTGAGGAGTTAGCTGCAGAGAAACAAGACAGGGTGAGGCATTATTTACATCTGATATGCATTTAGTTGACAACAGCTGATTTAATCTAGCTGAAGTCATGGATAACCATTATAATCAAATGAGAAAGCATGACTGGAATGTTGAAGAAATTATTCCTATTTAACTCCTTATATGTAATGTTGATGATTACTTGCACATTAATTTTTGCCAGGAGCTTCATTACACTCTAGCCTTATTTTTAGCAGCTCACAGCTTAGTTTCAGAATAGCATTTCTTGCAAAGCTGGAATAATAGCCTGGGACTCAGAGGCCCCAGACCCACCCAGAGCATGGCTCTCATAAAGCAGAGGCTGCACTGGTGTCGATCTTGGCTGCCCACCCAGATCCTGGCCAGCTGCCACTTAATTTCCTTTTAAGCCACTCCTTGAGCAAGTCCTGAGCCCCTCACTGTGCTCAGAGAAAGCTTAGACCTCAAGAGGGTCGTAATTTGCTTGCTCGTAGGAAGCCCACATGCCCTTTTTTAGTTGTAGGCTGGCCTATGACTTATGGTGCCATCTCTTCCCTTTAAATGTTAAGGTGATTTGAACTCTGTCAGACAATGATATATTTTTATTGTTTTAATTTAAAAAAAGAAAATGTTTACTTACTACAATTCCACTTCTAGATAGTCACCAAGAGAAATGAAAACATGTCTACAAGAAGATCTGAACACAAATGTTCTTAGCAGTTGTATTTATAGTACCAAAAAGTATAAACAAGTCGTGTCAATCAGCAGGTGAGCGGATAAACAAACTTGTAGTTTATCCATACAGTGTAATACTGAGCAATGAAAAGAAGCAAACTATCAACACACACAAGTGTGGGTAAATATCAAAACACTGTGCTGAGAGACAGAAGCCACAAACAAAAGAATTCCTATGGAGTATGTTTACATATAAATATTGTACAAGAGAGGATGCATGGGAATATTTTTATATATGTGGATATGTGTTTATCTATGTATTTCTATGAAGTTCTAGAACTAGCAGCACTTATCTCTAATGATAGAAATGAGGCCAATGGTTGCTTGGGGATCGTGGTGTTGGAAATCGACTCCAAAAGTGCACAAGGAGCCTCTTGTGGTGCTGCTTACCCAGATGTATGTATTTGTCAAAACTTATTGAACTCTATACTTTAAATGAGTACATTTTATTTTCCATAAATTATACCTCAGTAAGGTTGATGAATTAAAAAAATATATTGATAAAATATCCAGGAAAAAAAAAGGAAAAAGGAAGCATGAGTAATGCCTATTAGCCTACATTTTAGCTAATGAATGGCTGAGAGAGACTGGCCTGAAGTTGTGGAGCTAGAAGGCAATCAGGAGGATCTCTAGATGTTATCTGGGACACAGAGTCCTTAGTCCAGAAAATGATGATGGGGTTTTCTTCTAATGTCAACCGAGCAGCATTGTCTTCCACAAGGAGTGTTAATAGAGTTTGGGGTCTTCTCTCAGGAAGTGAGAAGATGAGGGGCTGGAATCCCTTGGCTACTCTCTCAGTCTTTTTGGTAGGAGGGCTCATGTTGGTGTGGTTGGGGACCCATACCAATAGGTCTAAGAGGACCTAGGACCCACAAAAGTAGCCTGAGATAACAGAACAAAACATAACAGCCCAGACTCCAAACCCACCCAAGACAGAGACGCTGCTGGGTCTGCTTGGCTTGTCAGCCCTCGGAAAAGACGACCACGTGCTGGAGGCCATGTCCATGTTTCCAGATGTCCCATCATTTCCAGAGCTCTAACCATCTTAGAGACTTGATTGATGAATATAAATTGATGGTGGTTTGTTTCATATTTGTCATGTAACCCACTGAGTTACATTTGTGTTTCCTACTGACTCTCACATTTACTCCCAGGAACAGGCCCTTGCAGTCACTCCCTAATTTTCTGAGCTCTAGAAGATAATTAGAATGAAGCTAATATCGAATGAAGATGTGCTGATTCCCCACCCTGAGGCATATTTAATAATTCAGAGTGCTTCTTCTGCATGATAAGCTGGGTAGGTACCTCTGGTTGAAATTTGAATGATTATATACCAATTGAAAAATTGAAGTGGATGCAGAATAACACCTGCCCAATCAGCTACTTCACTGTTGTATCCTAAGCAGGCATAATAGAAATAAGAGGAAAATCAGTCCCCACAACATGGACCTCTCAAAATAACATTCTCAAAATAATGTTCTCACCTGGGCAAGCTGTATGTGGATTCCATGATCCACCCCTTAGCTAAACATAAATTAGACAGTAGTTATTAACCTAAGGGTTCTGCTGGTAGAGCAGAGAGCATCTGTTTTTGGTTTTTTTGCCCTGCCCTATCATGGTTCATGTTTGGAATGAATCAATTAAGCAGAAAATTAAATAAGCATCCATCATGGCTTTAAGGTAAGATAGACACAAAATATAATAGGCTAAAACCTCATATAATATGTGCTTCAGACAGCATTTTGGACATACCATGGTGTGGTTTTCCTTTAGTCATTGAAATTGTTTTCCATGCATGCAATTAACACAGTTGTGCTCAGGGCTCCTGCACATCACCCTGGAGAGTATTGTCATAATGCCCAAGGGAAGCTAAGAGGCCATAGGAAATGAACACAGCAATACTGGACAGTGCCTACTTCCAGACACATGAGTGTCTTTGACTCATATGCTAAGTTTTTGTTTAAGTGATTGAAATATTCTGCTTTGGTGTTAAGGCCACACTTTAATTTAGCTATTTGTAATAGGCATTTAAATTTGTCCTCTCCGATCTTTGTAAAGGGGCTTTCTGTTCTGTTTTGTGGCAGTGAGGGCCTCCTCACTATCAGCTCTAGATTCGCTTGTCAAACTTTCATTTTTTTCAAGTGAAATAACATATATCCAGAAAAAAAAAACAATAACAAAACCTTTCTGGCAAGGAACTACAGCAGTATCTAATTCCTTTTGTCACTCATGACTAGCAGCATTTTCCATTGACTTCTCTTTTTCTCTTGCTTCTAAAAAAGAAATTTCAAAATAGAAAAATAGGAAACCTACAAAATTATCTAAAATGATTGTCATGTTTCAAAGTAGTATGTCTGTGTGTGAGCAGTTATATGAATTTGACTTACTCTTAAAAAACCCATTTTTCCATGTTTGTCTTCAGAATGTTTGTGATGTTGTCAGCATTTAGAGCTCCCCAGCTGGACTCGTTTCGTTTCTGAGGTTGCAGGATGGGGTCTTTGTAAATTCCCCTTGCTGTTCTGTGCATTGGCATCCACATGTCAGAATGCATGTCATACAAATCATGAATGTGTAGTGTGACCCTACACACCCCACTTCACAGCTGACCTTGACCATCCTTTCCTGCTAACTCTGGACTTGTTTGGGTTACTTTTTCTGGCATGGCTCCTTTAAATTATTAATGGGAGTTTCCTCTTACTATTAAAGATGAGCCGGCTAAGTACAGAGTTGTAGATGAGTTTAAGATGCCTGCTATCTTTCACTACATTTGGCACCTGGACGTTTGGGGTTGTAGAGATCAAAGTGACTTTACTCTTTTTATATCTCAGATTAATTTTCTCTTTTGAATCTAGGAAAAATGAGCAAACCCAGCTCCTCTCCCCAGCTTAACTCCATGTGGCCTGTTTTCCTGGCTTCAAACAGCTTAGAA